TGTGTGTGTGTGTGTGTGTGTGTGTGTGTGTGTGTGTGTGTGTGTGTGTGTGTGTGTGTGTGTGTGTGTGTGTGTGTGTGTGTGTGGGCATGTGCGGAGGAGTGCGTCTCCATTAAGGCCCATGTGTGTGTGTCCATCATCCTGTCAGGCCAGCCCTGCACCCGCCAAGAATCCCAGGAAACTATCTGCTGCAGCAATCTCCTATTATAGCAGCATGCTGTAGGAGGGGAAGGAGCTATGGGGGTGAAAGGGGGAGGTACAGTTCCTCCCCTTCCTTTGCCTTATGGCCTTTTCTGCTGGGGGTTGAGTGAGGCTGTAGTCAGGGAGATTAGACGGGCCATGGTTTGAGTACTGTAATAAAGTGAAAATTCAGGTTAAAATTAACCTCTCAGACATGATGTGTCAAACAAAAAATAAAAGGAAATAGATGGGGGGGAAAAGCCCAACAATGATAGAAAAAAAAATTCCCTCATTTTGTCCAACATGACGCTTCATTCAAGCAAAGTGGCCGGAGGCCACTTGTTGACACTCAATATAGTGCTTGTCAGTTCTGTTCAACAAAGAAGGTGGCACTTGAGTGCAACACAATCAAGTTATTTCTGTCTCCCAGAAGGGTACCCAAGCTACAGCCCCTCCATACACCCTCCCAAACACTCAGCACCATAGCGCATCCTCAGGAAATTAGTGTTTTCTCCTGGTTTAGATCTTGCAACCTCCTCACAAACTTGCAATACGTTTCCAGTTTACTGACAGTTAGCTCTGGCTGCTAATGGCCAATAGTAGCTGTCCAGATTTATAAATAGTTGAGAGGCTGTTTGTTTCATCCATCTGACACTCGACACCAAAGGATTTCACAGACCCACATGCTAGCCCGAGTCCTCATTCTGGTCCCCCATGGTGGACACTCTCCCTGGGACAACTCCTCTATTTCTGTCTAGTCTCCAGCCCGAGTCCTGCTTGCGGCTCAGAGACCTGAAAGTGGACTACATAGAGGGGCTTTTTGGATTTCTGAGAGCTGGAGCTGTGAGAGGGGACAGATCAGATCAGCGTCAAAGGCTTTTTTAAAGAGATGAAACACTTTTGAGGAGTTTACAACAAGGCGCAAATTATGGAATATAAAACTCAAAGGTAAGGCAATAATCTCAGTGTGCATTCTTGTTCATATTTGAAAGAAATACATGAAAAATGCCCCCAAAAAACATGACCATAACAGATGTACATAACATTACTCTTAAGCTTGGAATTTCAATGATTTTCACACAGATAAGAAAGGTAAGAGATAAGAAAATCTCTGATCCCGTTTGTAAAAAGGTAGTACACATTGACTTACTGAAGGTACTGTGCAGTGTTTAGCTGCACTTATAGAATTTGGTTTTGTTCCACTGAAACTTGCTGACATCAGTAAACATTTACTGTTATCCTTTGAGAAGGTACAGAGACATTCCCGTTCAGTCTTCCTTTGGACTGGATTGGAGTCCCATCTGAAAACGAGTCATCTTTGGTGTCAGGTTTAAGCTGGAGACCCGTCACTGCACAAAAATAAACCTGTCACATGCAAGAATGGGCTGAAATCAAGCTGGCAGTTTTACAAGACACCACTGCAAAAAAAAAAAAAAAAAAAAAAATGCAGCCGGATGAGGGATGGCTATCAAAATTGTGCACGTCTTTAATGCTTCTTTTTTAAGAAGTCTCTCTCTATATACCAAATGTTTTGCTTGATTCAAGACAGACTGGGATGAAAACAAAAATCTAAAATGTTTTCATTGCTTTGATCATTTTCTCAATGTTTCTTTTAATACACTGAAAGAAGATGCTTGTTGTGAGTGTACTGGGACAATGCAAAGACATGGAACATGTGGCCTTGTTCAAGCTTCTGCGTTTTTTTTTTTTTTGCTTAATAGAGAAACGTGTTGCATTATAGTTTTAAACTTCTTTTTATTTCTGCATCGCTCTTATTAGATGCTGATGTAGTCGGTCAGTACAGCAGTGTGGTGAGTAACTGTGTTATAGATGTGTATCAGATGGATAGCCTCCAGGTCAAAAGATATTAATGACCCACTGAGTACTCTGAGCAAGGTGATGGCTGCTTGGCAGCTGCATAGTATTTAACCAAAATATACCCATGATATTACCCATTTACAGTACAACAGAAGAAGAATGTGATACCTCACCTATATCCTGCAGCTGGGAAGAAACAAACTACATTATTGCAGATATGTTAAACTATATTTTAATATTTAACCCAGGGTTTGTGATTTGTAGAATTGTGGATATATTTTCTAATTCAGTTTAGTGAATTTTGAAGCCCACCACAAGAAGTTCATGAGTGTAAATAATAGGAAAAGTAAAGCTTCTGTGTCAGCTGTTCTACTACTTAGATCTTACATGTGGCCTTGGATGTTTTGAGTTTCATTTAGATTAAGGCTTTGCATGTTTATTTATGAAAGAAGAACATTCTTTGTAATTAATGATAATTTAAAGGAGTCTAAATGACATATAGTTTGTTTGAAAAAATCGATAACAGATTATGCACTTTACTGGCAGTAGATTAGGTAATTTATACATGTAAAATCCCAGAATAGTAAGAGCTATGCTTAAGGATATTATAATCTAATTTTCACCCCCTATGTAAAGAAAAAAAAGTTTCAGTGTCACACTTGACAAGTCCTAATAAGATGTTTTCCCTCTTTGACTAGACAGGAAACAGGCTGATTGAAGATCAGCAGCATTAGTGACTTGAAAATGTGACATTATGTGTTCATTTCAAGCTCTGATTACTCAGTTTCTGTCTTGCACTGCGAAGTCAATTTGTGGTGCATGCGTGCCCATCTAAATTTGTACAGATGCATCTTGATTACCCTAAATAACTCACGTGAGGCTGTCTTCGCCGCGCCTAGCAACAGTGTAGTTTTATTCACAACATGTCTCTGATCTCTGAAGGTCACAGTGATTGAGTGGAAGGATTTACAGCGCTGTTTTCAGAACCACATACAGTACATTGTGGCTTAATGCAAAAGAAAATTTAAACGTATCAAGACCAGCAACCAAAAACTTAAGCACCACAACAAATGACATATTGTGAATATTGTATATATTTTAGTCTTTGGATAAGTTTGCAATAAATTGAGCAAAATAGTGTTATGAAACTGTGTTTTATACAGTGATGGATTACAGCACTCATCCTGGCCTATTTCCCATTTCCTTTTTCTTCTAGGAAAACAACAAACTCTGGGATTGTTTTGGAGACAGGCCAGCTAAATGGCATGATGCCGTAGGAGCTACTGGCTTTACAAAATCCTGACCCAGGGCCCTAAATTCTGGGTGCAGCAGCTCCAGCACCAGGCAGAGTGTGTAATTTTGAGGTCTATGTTTGCATGAATGTTTGAACAACTGAAGGCAGACATTTTTGTTTGCAATTCTGCATCATGACCTCCGTTGAGAAGCGCCGCTCTGGCCGAAAGAGTGGCAGGCATCGAAGGCACAGCGATGGAGGCTACAGCGACACCTCCAGCGGTGGGTCCTTCTTGGATGAGAATGACCGTGAGGTCTGCAGTCTGACAGACAGGGCATTCAGGAGTCTCTGTATCGGCGATGAAGCTGTTTATAATGACTCAGACCTAAGTCTGTCTTCACCCTGCACTCAGAGAGACAGACAGCTGGCCTTTAGCCAGAGCGGACAGGACAGAGAGGACGGAGAGGACAGAGAAAGGGAAGAACTTAAGAGAGCTGCACGTGAGAACTTCAGCCTCAAGGTGCAGCAGTATGGACAGGACTGGAGCCATGGAAGAATGTATGGAGGTGAGATTCACAGAGATCCACAATGGGAGGTTCATGGAGAAAGGACACAGGGGAGGATTTCTGCCACATTCCAGCACTCCGTTGTGGAAACCTCTCAAAAGGAAACATCTTTAAAGGAGGAACGGCTCAACTTTCTCAGCAATGGAGCCACAGAGTTGAGTTCACAGCAACGCAAAAGCAACTCCAGAGTTTCCTCTCTCATCAGAGCATTTAATTCTGAGCGAAACAGGGATGGAGTAGGAATGGATGACAAAATCAGAGAGTGGAAAGATGAGACGAGCTGGGACAAATCAGCTCTAATGAGTATCCAGAGGGAACTTTCTGAATTCTCTACATCATACCAGCAAAATTTTCACAGCAGTCATTTCCCCTCTTCTGGTTCATTCTCATATGGAGACAACAACCTCCACTCCTTTGGATCTGATGTAGCAGCAGTGTCTCACAGTTCTGCATCTTCTTTTATGAGATCTTCACACAATAAACAGAGCATGTGCACACAGGTCAACTGCAACTCTAATGTCTTTATACACAGCGAGTTTAGTCCCTTCAAGGTGTGGAGGGACCATAACAGGTTTCCCTTCCAGCAAGGACAAATCTCAGGCTTTATGCACCGTTCCGAGTTCGCTAAATGGTATGAGACACCTATGTACAAGGAGCCTTCACAGATGGGTCAACCACAGGGTCATTATACAGGTATCAGACGGCCAAGGAGTAACTTGGCACCCATGATTTCACCATCTCTTCCACGTTCCACCTCGACATCTACAGTGCTACAGAACGCTTCAGCTGTGGAGAAACGCTGTGAGTCAGAGTTGGCAGGTAATTACCCTCACAGAAAAAGAAGCCAGAGTGTGGGAACCAACAGGCTTCCGTCCCATCGCCCATCGACTGCATCACCCACCATTGAGATGTCTCGACGTGTGAGGGACACCATCAGCTCTGTCAAAGCCCTCCAGCAGAAAATCAAAATGATGGCAGAGCAAAATATTACTACGGAAGTGACAGAAAACCAACAAACAGTACTTTACAGAAAAGAAAATGTAAGTCTTGGCAATAATGCAGTAACAGTGGCACCTAACGCTATTGGCAGTAACACAAGCACCACGCCATTTAACATCAGCCAGCTGCTGACACCTCTGGTCCATGCACATCAAGAAGCTGTTTCTTCTGATCTCCAACATTATGCAACTTCTCCTCAACCTGTAGAGCATTCTCCAGTACGAGCTGAAAGCAGGGGTGTGACTCCCGACATTAGGATGTCCACCTACAAATCCAGAGCCACGAGTCTGCTCTTCAATCTCAAAGACAACAGAAAACGAGTAAAAAGCACCTACAGTCCTACCAAATTTAAAGCAGCGGAGACGTCCGAGAACAACAAACAGCCACCAACGCACGAGCCTAGAGATACTGTGATAGATATCCCTGAATTTCCAGATTCAGAAATTCAATTTTCACAGCTACAAGAATCCAGCAGGACAAATGCTGCTATGAACCAGTATCGCATCCCAGAACTGTCACTTACAATGTCAAATTCTCAACCTGTAATGGCAACTACAGGCCAATATGCAGAATACTCTTTAAGCGATTACCAGAGAGCTCAGATGCAAGCCCAGATGGTTCATCACTCTGGGTTTACTGGATTTTTACCTGAAAACTACACCGGCAATAAGCTGGCTAATGGACAGAATCTCCATGAAGATTTAGCATCATTTGCTCCCTATAGGCAGGATACTATGGCTGATGTAGGAACTTTGGGAGGGGCTTTATACACACATAAAACACCTTATTCAGCTACAGAAACACCAAGGCTAAATGCTGACAACAATCAAAGTGGAGAATATTTAATAAGCAAGCCAAACATTGAACAACCTTTTAATGAAACAGTGGGAAGGCTATTCACAAAGGTGGAGAAATGTGAGCAGCTCAAACACAACAAACATGATTACAGTAATGTCTCCTTACAGGATAAGTGGAGGCAGACAAACAGCCAAGATACAGAAAAGCTCAGCATGAATGCAACTATCTCTCCATGGAAACAAGAAACAGCTACTTTAATGGAAAAGACAAGGCAAGAAAGTCACCAGGACAAAGGAGTGCTTCAAACACATTCTGGATGTAATGAGAAAACTGATTTGAAAGATCATTATTTTAAACAGGATTATAACAAATATAATGACAATGAATGTATAAGCCATCAGATGTTTTCTTCTGCTAAAGACAAACATATAGGCATGGGTGAAACAAGTCAAAGAAAACAATATATGCAAATTCCAAGGGGACACGAGGTCCAGAGTCTTCAGCCTTCAGAAGTGAAACCACAGTCTGAACATAATATACACATAAATTCATTTAACCCAGACAAAACATCTGCCCCCCAAATAGCAGAGCAGATGACGGAGAGACAGTTTGCTGAGGTCAAGGCTAAACAGGTCATGGCAGAACATATAAAATCCCACCACACCCAGGCAGAGGTGGCAAAAGTTCAGCAGGGGGCTCAAGTGGAGCAGCCTAAAGCAGAGCCCTCTAAGTTAATTTTAGCAGGGCAGAATGATTCGCAGAAAGACGCAGCAGAGCGGGTCAAATCAGGACTAATAAAGGAGGAGAGAGGGAAACAACCCCAAGCAGAACATATTAAAGAAAATAAAGAGGAGAAGATAAAAGGAGAACAAACAAGACAGTTCAGAGAAAAACAACCAGAGCTTGCCAGAGAGGAGCAGACAAAGGCTGAACAAACCAGAGTACACGAGGTAAGAGATGAGCCAAGAAATATCACAGAGGAAGCAAGAGCTGAGCACATTAAAAAGGAGCAGGGTAAGCAGGTCAAAGCGGAACGAGCTGAAACAGAGAAGCTAAAAGAAGAGCACATAAAAACTGAACTGGCAAAAACCGAGCAGGCTTGGCAGACGAGAATAGAGGAAGCTAAAACTGAACAGGCCACAGAAAATTGGATCAATGTAGCACAAGTCCAGCAAATGGAGGTAACCACTGAACAAGTTAAGAAAGAGCAGACAGAAACAGAACAATCTGGAACAGAAAAGGTTAATGTAAAAACGGCTGGGGTGGAAAAAACAGAGCATGCAAAAGAGCAGCAAACTGAAGCAAAAGAAGTGAAGACAAATGTAGCTGAAGTGGAGAAGATCCAAACAGACCACATTAAAGCTGGGAGTTTCCGAAAAGCAAAGGAAGTAAAAGCTTCAGTTCATGTGAATATAGAGCAGTCTACAACAGGAACAAGCACAACGCAAGATGCTAAACCTGAAGTTGGAAAAGCAGAATGGGCAAAGCAGGAGCGAGCTAAAGCAGAGCTTATAAAAGCAGAAAGCATGCAGGAAATGTCAGCTAAACTCACAGCTAAACTAACGGCTGCACAACTGGTCAAAAGTGAGCCAGATAAAGTCAAGCAAGTCAAGACCGAGCTAGCTAAAGCTAAAGCAGAGTTAGCCAAAATAAAAGAGAAAATGAGATGTGAGCAAAAAGAGAAAGGCAGACATGCCATCATCATAAAAGAGGATGGCACTTCAAAGAACGATGTTCCTTCAAAGTTAAATATAAATGAAAAAGAGAATTACTTAAAGAAAGATAAGGAAGTTCAAAAGCGTCACCAGGAAGAAACAGTTATCAGAAAAGATAATGATCAATCCAGCAGAGGCAGTGATGATTATGAACATCTGAGAGAGAAATATGGCTGTACTAACAGAATTTCAACAGACAAAAACAATTCATCAGTGACAGGGAATGTCTTATTAAATGGTCCTTGTGAAAATCAAGTTTTACCTCCTAATAAAGTTGAGAAAGTAAATAAGGAGAAATCAACAGAAGAACACAGTCCTACAAGCAGATTTATCACAGCTAACCAAAAAAATATAGAGGAAGTAGGTGGCTTTAAATCCAGTGAAGTCTCTGAAAGTCAGCCTGTTTACAATGTGTCAGCCAAAGAATCCAAATTACCCAGTGCCAATTATTCTGTAACTAATGTAAATAACAGAGCAAATTTTGACACTGTTAGCGATAACATGAAGGACAACAGTGTTGAAAAATTGGAAAAATGCACCCCTGTGAAAGACACTGAGGTTTCACAGCAAAGAGATTCTGATTGGGTGAAACTGCTACCCCATGAAAGGAAACCTAAGTCAGCTGAGCACAATGTAGGCCCAAGTAAAGATCAGCATTTTATGCCTCCCAAATCACTGTCTCATAAAGAAAGAGCCATGACCAAGCAAGAGATTCTGACTTCCAAGATAAAAGCTCATGCTGAAAAGGAAATTTCAGCAATTAAAGAAAAGGGCTGTGCTATACGAGATGGATTCATATCCAAAAATTCTTCCAAGCAATTAGCTTGTAGTCAGACAGTTAAGATACGACAGAGGCCGCCATCGCAGGAGGCGTCTAAAAAGCATGAAAGTATAATGCCCAGTAATGCAACACTGAAACCTCAGATGGGCTCTTTAGGAGTACAGATGGACCGTGTCAAGTCTGTTTCACCTTCAAGCTCTGCTACTATACCAGTTAAATCTACAGCAACCACCACTCATAATATCATGAGCACAACTGAATGCTTGCTACAAAATCAAAAGCTGGAGTCCAAACCAATGCAAAATAAAGAGCAGCCACTCACGATCAACCAAGAAGAACAGAAAGCAGTTCATGCAGAAATATCTGGAAAACCAAAAGATGGAGGTAAAGACTCTTCAGATATAAAAGCTGACATTCCCAACAAAAAGGAAGAAGATCCTGCAGACGCCACCTGTGTCAAAACTGCAAGCTCCAAACCTGTGATGACAGAAAAGGCTGAAAGTAAAGAAGAAGCTTATGTAGACTTAGCACCTTCACTAAACATTGTCTTTGGTCAGAAAAAAGAACCTGCAGCTGATCATAGCTTGCAGATTATGGGAATAATGGTAACTGTACACGAAAGAAAGCCAACTGTGAACACTGGTCAAGGGAATAACAATGCTCAAAACCATCTGAATGTAACAGAGAAAGAAAACAACAGTTCAGAACTGGATAAGTGTTCTCCCAACTCATGTCTAGAATTAACTGAAAGAAACACATCTTCAAATGAGGTCATAAAGAAAAATAACACGCAGGAAACAGAAGATCAGGCTAAATTTGTTAGAGAAAGTCATCCTGAAAATGTGCAAGAAACACCACTCTCGGAAGCAGTAAAGAACAATATGAAGATGTGTCAGGAAAGGACACATCCACAGCAGGATGGTTCTACTATGAATACAAAACCTCAGGGGGAAACACAGCCAGAAACCTTGACCAAAAAAGGTACCATCACTGTACCCGCTAAAAATACAGTGCCAGGTGAAACTCAACCCCTTCACCACAAAGAGGACATAAAAGCAAGACAAGGAAAGGATCACAACACAGATAAAATGCTAAGAGAGAGGACAGATGAAGAGAAAAATCCACAAAAAGTGCAAACAGCTCATAGCAATGAGAACTTAGCTGTCCCAACAGTGAACACTGGAATCAACAACATGAATGATGCTGAAATGCTGATAAAGCAGGTCGCTAAGCAAGTTCTGAAAGAAGATATGACAAATGTGGACAATCAGGCCAACATCAGCAATGTAGATGGCAAAACAGCACCGCTACTTGAGGAAAACAAACATGACTCTATAGTTCCAAAAATGTTAAACACCAGTTCTTCCAACAAGTTATTCAAAAATGAAAACACACATGGATCACACAAATTTCAATATAATGACAACCAAATCAGGGATAATAAAAAAGAGAACGATAACGTGCACATTGACAGCATCGCCATCAGAGTTGTACCATCAGTAACTGAGACGGATAACATGGCGATAGTTGGAAAAGAAGATGGTGCAACTTTGCCATTTGATCGAGTGCAAGCTAATAAAGAGAAAGAAGTTACATCATCTAGTTGCCAAGAAAAAGTTATCACTTTAAGCACAGAAGAACAAGCATGCACTGAGAGATCTAGTTCTGATGACACACATGTGCTGTCCAGTGTTAGAAAACTGTCTGATTCGCTGAAATTTAGCAATCAACAGAATAGCAACAATGCAACAAGCGAGAATACTCAATCTGAGAATGAAGAGCTTGAAAAAGTAAAGAAATGTGAGGAACTGGTGGGTGAATCAAGTGAACAACAAGCAAATGGAGACTACTTTCAAGTACAAGGGATAACAGAAACCAGTAATGAGCCACAGTACAATAGCAAAACTGATAGAGATGCATCAGAGGGAAGGGGACTTCCAGGGTTACCACCAAACAGAACAGCTGCCAGCAATGAAACACACAATGAAGGAAAGATTGAAGCCTTTGTGTTCACTGTGGATCAAAGTAAAAGAAAAACAACCGATTCAAGTACAGTTCAAGATGAAGATGCTAAAAGGAAAAATTGGGAAGCAGAAGATAAGCTAGAATCAAAACAGACAGACAGATCTAGGAAGAGATGGAATAATAATGAAAATGCTAAGGCAGAACAAGCTAATCACATTAGAAAACAAACTGAGAACCACTCCACTGTATCGGCAACCGAAAGACAAAGTTCAAGAAATTCATTCCCAGCAAGGGAGAGCACATTTCAAGAAAAACCTGAAGTTAAAACAAAACCAAAAGGAAAGCTATCCACAACACCAGAGATATCAGCAATTGCAGACTATGCAAGGTTAAAAGTAATTGTTTCAGAGGACAGAGAAGCAAATACTTTTCAGGAATACCCACCCAACAAAAAGGAAGGATTCTTTCCACTAATACAGACCCGTCATAGCAGACGTCCTGTGTTTACTACTGACCCACATGAGAACTCTGTAAAAGAGAAAAGTTTGCCAGATAAGACAGAAATGAGTGCTAAGGTGAATAAAGTACCCAAACTACTAGTATTTCCAATCACAGACAAAGAGCATCAAAGAACAGGGATGTTCAAACTGGGAGAAAAAGAAAGACAAGATTCCAAAGTGAAGGAAAGCCCGGCAGACAATGCAGCAAAATACACCCAACACAAAGAAAGGAACCATTCACCAAAAACTCAGACAATACAAATATCTGAAGCTGGCTCCCAAAAGGGATGCCAAGAAGATCAAACCGTTTGTCAGCCAAATAGTCATTCTTTGCAACCAGCAACATCATCTTTTGTAGTTAACGACTCTCTACATCCAACCATGGAGCAAATGCGCAACAGGAAAGAAAATTTTACTCAACAAATGCAAGATGGGAGATTTGAAAAACATCAAAATAAAGACCTGGGGCCGAAGACTGACGATGAGAGGACAGAAAAACTAAAAGAAGAAAGTCTTGAAACTCAGCATGGAATAATCATAGCAAAGCAGCAGCGTACGAAAAAACAATTAGAAGAAGAGCAAGCATTCATGTCTGAAGAGATAAAAAGAGAAGAAGACATGAAAATAAAGCATATATTGGATGAGAGTAGAGCTTCTCTGGCTGAAGAAGAGAGGAGAGCCACTCAGAGAGAAGAGGAGAGGAGAGCAAAAGAGCGTGAGGCCGTAGCTATTAAGATCAAGGAGAGGCGAGAGAAGCAGAGGGAAGCAGAGAGATCAGATGAAGAAACAAAATTCAAACAGAAAGAAGAGGATATTAGAGCAGAACAAAGAGAAGAAAAAGTGAGAATGAAAGAAATTGAGGAAAAGAAGAACAGAAGAATAGAGGAGCAACAGAGAGCTGCACAAGAAGAGCAACAGAGGAAAGCTGCAGAAGAAGAGCAGCAAAAAAGAGCTGCACAAGAAGAGCAACAAAGAAGAGCTGTGTATGAAGAGCAACAAAAAAGAGCTGTGCAAGAAGAGCAACTAAGAAGAGCACAAGAAGAAAAACAGAGAGCTGCAGAAGAACTGAAAAGAAGAGCTGCACAAGAAGAGCAACAAAGGAGAGCTGCACAAGAAGAGCAACAGAGAAGAGCTGTGTATGAAGAGCAACAAAGAAGAGCACAAGAAGAAAAACAGAGAGTTGCAGAAGAACTGAAAAGAAGAGCTGCACAAGAAGAGCAACAAAGGAGAGCTGCACAAGAAGAGCAACAAAGGAGAGCTGCACAAGAAGAGCAACAAAGGAGAGCTGTGTATGAAGAGCATCAAAGAATAGCACAAGAAGAAAAACAGAGGGTTGAAGAAGAACTGAA